CCACAAAAACCCTCTGCACCAATTACTACTCTTAAGACTAACCCAGACGAAAAACGAGCCTCAGACATCAGCAAGCCATCTACAATCCAAACACCCCAATTAGTTCCCCTTCGTGTACAATCAAACGACCCCATCTAATTAGAAACCTCTATCAGATAAACCACGAAGCTCCCCTAAAAACCATAAGGATCTCGTTTCTGGTTTCGTAGCGTGTCTTAAATCTTCGCATATCTCCACTGTCGTATTTCGCGGTGGTGGTATGACACAAAGGAGTCACAGATCATGGAACCTCTCGACCGCGAGACGATCAAATTGACTGTTGGAAGCCGAGGAAACTGTGCCCCTCGCCTTTACACGGTTTCCCTTTAAGACGAACGTAGGAGGAGCAGGCCAAGTCCGCAAGGTTCACGGAGTTATCCGGAGAATTCGGAACCGCGAAAGCCGAGATTGCTACCAGGATACTCCATCAGCGTTGAAGAGACTCTTGGTGCAAATTGATGTTTGCCGTGTCCGATCGAATATTGGCAAAATTATTCGACTACCACGGCGCTGATTCCTTTGGTGCTCGCATCGAGTCGAGAGGACCTCTTGCTGGAAGCGAACAGCTTTTCTTTTTTCTTTGCTTCTTCGATTTCAGAGCCTGGAACTCTGCGACGTGTGAATTTCCCGCCTGTTGACGCGAGTTTAATTAGTCTGGACGATATTGTGTCGAGCCACTCGTCGAGTAATCGGAAAGCGTTCGATACCGTGGGGTGCTGACGACTTTCAGAGTTGCAACTTTCGTTTTGTTTCATTTTTCATGTATTGGGTTCTGTGCGAGCGTGATTGGTTCGAGTAAAATATTCTTTTGATAATCAGAGGTATGGTAGCAATGTTGTAATGATAGTTAATAATTTTTTTATTTATTCTCTATTTATTCTTAACCCCCTGTCAGTTTAATTTTGTCTTTATTCATTGAAATTTTCTATTATTTTGATGACAAATCCCTTATATTGATATTTTTCCGTCGTAATTTCCCTATATTAAAATTTCTTTACGTTTGCAAATTTTCTTATTCTTCTGATGAAGTACGTATCAAAAATTGTATTAAAAATAATTCCAGTATCACGAGATTCGAATAAATCCAGAAGTAGGTTACCTATAATAATCCACGAAAAATATAAAGAAAAATATAAAAATAAAATGAAAATATAAAAAATAACAATAACCTCACAAAGTTAAAAAGATTTTTTTATACTTCCAATTATTATATTTTACCCTGACTTGTCGCAATAAACTCGTGTTAATCTCGCGATAAAGATCACATCTGACCCATCGGAGCTGAATGTAACAGTTCGCGTGGCACTGTGCGGTGCATTAATTACATATAAATAAAATAAATCCTGTAATTATGACACGCGTTACTCGTTTGCGCTTACTGTCGGTGGAAGATCGTCGAAGCACGGCAATTTGCCTGAGCCCGATAGCATAGCGGATCCTGGAAGCCAGATACATCGCTACGAGACTAAACTCACGCTAATTAACCCTTTGGGTTCTTTGTGAATGAAGATCGTCGAACATAAGTGTCGAGATGCAGAGATTACGTGTGCATTTGTAGCACGTGCTGTGTTTCAAGATCAACTTGGTTCTAGCGTCAGTTAACTAAATTATGTCTTATCTGTCGACCATCGAGTCGGTCAATTGACAAGTGTAACGATCGCTGTTCTTCCTGTTTCTATTGCTCAAGTGTGAAGATACTGTAATTTTCTTTCTTAAAAATTGTTTATTTGCAAGTAATCATTCACTATCGCGCGTAAAGTAGATTATAGATGTTACAGGGCGGAAGTTGTTTTCATGGTGGTTGAATTAGTGCACGTAAATAGAAGCGAGCAGTGCATTCTGCGGTAGTGATCAGGTACGCGATTAGTCTGAGGGCGTCGAATCCTAAATATGTGTGTTTCTTTAAATGAAGCCTTTTAAGCGAGCGATAAAATTTGATCATCTTCCATGCAGAAGATACATTTTTTGATAACAATTTCCATGTTCCAGTTGGTTAAAAACATGTGCATTTTACAACAGTTCTAAGCATTTGGAAATACCACCAAAAAGTTACTACGTTTAGAAATCCTGTATGAGAATCTTTTATTGTTCTTGATGTAACTAAACAAATTTTGAGTCACAAATTGTCAAACTTGCAATTCGAGATTGACCATGACCTTCGAAACCGACGACTAAAAAAAGATCCGTCTACAAAAAAGACGACGTAACTGGAGTTGAAGGTGGATAATTCGAGCTGGTATCAGATGATATAGAAGACAACCACAAACTATGGAAATTTAACCACAGAAGAGACCGGATACTAATCTGTGCAATAGTTTGACTCTACTTGCTCCTAAGATCAATTTCTTTCTTTTCTTTCTAAGCGAAGGCTCTCAACGAGGATCGCATTGTGTATCTCATTCTGAAAACAGACCGGTGGTAAATTGTACGATCGAGAATTAGTACATTCTTTCAGAGAAGCAGGATGTTCTTCTTTTATGCTTTGTATTATATTTTCTATTTTTAAACTTCTCAAAATTAAACAATTACTTAGATCGATAAATAATCAATTGAAATAATCATCTGAATGGATAACTCGAAGATATTCCAAGAGTTGGTCGTTGCATTATTATTTGATAAAAATCAAAGGAGTCTGATAAAAGAAACTACGAAAGGGTACAAATAACGCTATTTTCGTATAATTCTATTTCATTAATAATTCATTATGCTTGGCAAAATCTTTATAATCTGAAATGCTTCTTTAAATATATAATTGTTCATACATAAGCGAACATCGATAAAAGTATTTCAGGTGGACGTCTACCTTTATACGAGTGGAAGATACCGGAAGCAGTTCTAGGGTTGTTATCCAACCGTCGACGTATTTTTCCCCCGTTTGCGAGCAACCAATCGCGGAAAGAGGCGTGTTCCGACAAAAGAGCCGCGATCTTTTTCCCATTGTACGAGGCTCCATCTTTACGCCTTTTCCTCTTTCTTAGTTTCCTTTCGTGACGATTTAATGAGCTTGAGACACGAAGACGCCGCAGGCATCTCGCGATTTGTAAGGATTCACTGGGAAACGATGCCGAACAAGTCCTGTTACGAGACGCATTTTCGTTTCTTCTTGCAACATGTACTTAAATATTTTTTTAGTGACACGTCAGATCGATCCAAACGTCGGCAACACGCTGAAAGGTTTCAGTATCTCGTGATCGTATCAGGTGAATCTACAAATTCGTACTTCTGTCTCTAACGAAGAAGCAAAAATACAATTTAGGACATATAATCATTTTGTACGATCACTTAGCATTTTAGTATGGGGAAGTGATTATTTTACACTGTTTCTTTTTTTTTCAATTTATCTTAGAACTGGTCGTTATCTGTGTCATCCTTTTTCAATGAACGAACTTATGGAAGTAAATCGTCTGTTTCTTGAAAACACTGAATATTGAACACGTATAGTTAGGAAACGAAGAAATTAATAACAGGTAGAAATGATAAGTTTGATTCCTGAGAGATTCATACGCAAAACGATACTAAAAGAACTGACCAAAAGTTCTACGATCACATAGAATCACTTTAGGGTGGTAAACAAAATTATTTTCACCAGATCAGAATCGAATAATCTGAGATTAGTGACGAGCAGACAACCGCGTCTATAATCTGGCGTTTCGCCACTTTCGTTTCCGGGGCCACCCTTTGTCTTCGCCATTTCTCTGCGTTGGCTGAACGAAACACCAGCGCGGAACACGCGCCTGCCCACTTGCATCGCGCTTTCATCCTCGTCGAGGATTTATTTGTTTGAAAGAATCGATCCTTTTCACGCAGCTCGCTCGCCTGAGAACCTCCTCTCGTCGAGCAGCTTTCACGTTGATTCTTTCTCATCCCCGTTGCTATGGCTCTTCGTTTCGCGTGTTTCAAGCACCACTAATTCAACCGCGGCAAACGTATCACAAACGAACTCCTTCCACGAGCGGAAAAAATTGCGTAAGGACGCGACGCTCGAACATCATCGCGTTGACTGACGGTAATAAATTGCTTGACTCTCTCGATCCATCTGTCTGATCAGTTCCGTTGAAGTTCTGCAAGATCTTTAGCTTTCATTCATTGGGGGAATGTTATTTTAATAACAATGATACTTGTCCTCTTTTTCACATTTTCGATTGCTCAGACAGCTGGTGGAGTACATTTAGTTTCGAAAGAAGAGATGGTAGCTTTTGAAAGGGTGTTTGTATAACTAGATTCGCTATGAATTTAAGTAGCGTTGCGAGATACATAGCATACTGAAAATAGAAACTTTTATTAAGCGACATTAACACTCTGTGTTATAGATCTTCACTGTCAATCGCATTTATTTTTGACTTTTGTTTATTATTTTATAATTATGACGCTCTTTTTGAGAAAATCGCATTGAATTCATTATCGTTATCCAGTCTTTATTATGTTATCTTAATTTATTTCGTACGTTAGTGTATTATATGAATTTTTTTATTTATTTCTTGATTGTCCCGCGTAGTTACAGAAATCGAGATTATAATCATCTTCTGACCATTAACTTTCACTGGATCATTAAGCTCAGAAATTGCCGGTCTTTTCAGCGCATTTGTAAATCGTTTCGTTTCGATAGGACGCTATCAAAGGCCAGGAATCATTTGTCTCACGCGTAAGTAGCGATTAAATTAAAAAAAGAAAAAAACTGAAGTCACGTAAACGTGACTGCGGCTGACAATAGATGGCTGAGCGAAATCACGTTTACGTGACAGCGGTCGTCAAGGCGTTAAAATTGCATTAAGTATCCTATTCAATTGGATGAACTCAAGTGGCAGTAAACTCGGGTTCGTGTAGTCTCAGTTAAAACTTCTCCTGTCGTTTCCTTCAACGATTTAGAACCCTACATAAAAATAAGATTCATCAATTTGAAGCGATGACTGAATAAATATAACTGCGAAAATTACGTAGATAATATTGTTGAAAGGTTATACTTCCTTATTAAACCATGACGCTGGATATTTATGTCAATAATTAATTGTGATCACGAGGTTGAAATATCTTGCAAGACATTTTACACAGATTATATAATTTTCAATATCTCTGCGAGAAATAAATTGCAGTAAATAACACCAATGATACACAATATCGTGTTCAATGCCGATGTTTACTGGAAACGAAGAGTTTCGCTTTCCAGACAAACATAGAGTACAAATACCGTGAAAAATATTTTCTTCCTGAAGAAAATACCTAGCGGTTTCCAATGTTGGAAACTTCTTTCAGGATAGTATTCAAGATAAACATTTCCCAATCTGCATAATAAAGCCTTTGTCTTATTTTTGTGAAATTCAAGAAGCGTAACGCGCCTCACATTTCTTTCCACTTTTTCGCAGGCAGTGATTTCTAAAAATATCGGTATATTTGTAAAAGCTTCTCGTAATTGTGTATATTGTGTGAATTATGTGTATTCTATGAAATATTTCGAAATTTACACTTTAATGAGATCAGACTATTATTTATCATTGTATTGGCAAAGATTGAAAGAAAGCTGAAAAAATACAAGCAACAAGGTATTTAATGCAAGTAGATATTTCACAAAAATTACAAGAATATTCAATGGAGCTGTATTTAATGTTTAAAATGGTTGTTCATGCTCTACTACTTTCTTTCTAATTACATATTTTCAGTGTAAATATCTTGGAAGCTTGCATACATCTCCAAACTGGTCTCTTATTTTACAAATATATTCATGACAACCGTGTTTCATTACAGCGATAATGAAATTTCGAAATGTTTTATTTAAATACGTTCGTGAGCCACTGTTCATTTAAAATTCGAAGATCTTCTTCTCCCTTGATAACATAGCAAACAAGAAACGAATTCGAAGCCAGATCAAGATATATTGCGGTCTAATTACGGGTTTTCGCGTATCTTATAATTAAAATCCTCATACCGTGACTCGCCAAACGCCAGGGTGTCACTGTTCCGTCGACAAATAATTACGTTACGGGCGCCTTCTCCTGCTCGACACCATGATTTTAATCATGATCATCTCCATGATGTCGTACGGTATCTCAATTACGATAAACCAATTTCCATCACTGGTATATCATTAATTGCAAATAAAAAGATATTAAATTCACGTATCAACTTCGATCGTTCCAATTATTCAAATGGTTCGTATTAAATTCTCAAATATGTTATTAAACATCCAAATTCCATGCAAGTGTATACAGAGAACGCTTAGAATGAAACCGATGTGTCAGAGATGATATCCAAAGAGGTTAAAATTCATTGTAAAATATAACTTTTGTTGGAAAAAGATCGCCCGTAGATAAAGAATTATCGTAGCAAAGGAAAAATCGAAAATTTCATCGTGCCCGTTGTTTCCGCGACTCAATTAGACAAACGATCGCTCCGCAGCCTTTTTTCATCCTCTTTCGGGCGCTCGGTTCTTTTAATTTTCGGTGTGGTCTCTCTGGTCAGTCGCGGAACTCGCCTCTATTCGCGGCCCCATTGTGCTCCAGGGAACAATTAATGTTCCACGCTTGCGGGAATCGTTAACGCGATTCACAAAGAGCGCGTTCGCATGCGACTGCGTGCGGACACGATCAATTCTCTCTCCGCGAAAGGGACAATGCCCCGAAAACATAATTAATCGGCCAACAATTTTGGTCCTGTCCTTGGGAACGTTGCGTCCTTCCCTTTGGTTCGCGTCGTTGCTTGAAAAGAAATCCATTTGATTTATTTCACACGAAGAAGAAAGAATCAATTTATTAGTTTAATATGATATTTGTTATTAGATATTCATAAGCGTTTTTCGATAAATGTCTATAAAATATAAATTTGTACAGTACCCTGACTAAGTATTCGGACACTTCAAAAGTGTTGCGAATATGTAAAGTATACTTCAATGCTTCTTTCGCTTCTTATTTTGTCTCTGGCAGCCACGAACAATTAATAAATATAGACAAAGACGATAACTGATATCGATTGGTATAAATAAAAATGCTTTGATCTACGAACCTAAGTTAAGTGACTTTAGGTGTATCCGATCAAGATTGTTGAGATGTTACGATGATTGGAATGATAATTTCCAGCTATGTTTTAGAAGTTTATATATAGATTTTACAAAGTGTCACCTATTTATTAGAGATAAATATAGAATTTGATTGATCCAGGTATATTTTATGTTTCAGTTTCAATTTAGCAGAACATTTGATTTCACTTAGGGCAGGAAGTAGAAGATTGACAATAGAGAAATATTTTGCTACATATCATAATGTTGAAAATATAGTAAATATATAAATGTTTCGATTGAATTGCACCAAACGTGCACTTATGCACGGTAGCGTATGTACGAAACTTTCTATTTTTATTATTTAAATATTCTGAAGCCTGCCTTTTCGTATTTTTATAATAATTATTTTTATAAATAATATTTCTGTTTTTCCAATTAACCGATCACAAAGACAGGCAAACTCAATATAAATGAAATTAATTCTCCACAATACTGTAACAAATACTACGTATCCATGTTTTATGAAGCTACTCTGTTACTGTGTTCCATCATTGTACCATTACCCTGCAAACAAATCATTCCATCTGTAACAATTTCTCGTTCTGCCATAGAAATGAACCACTGAAACCAATTAAAATTTCTTTCCCTATAAACAAAGGAATATCTGATCGTAAGAAGTCAAGAGCGACACGAGTATTTTGTCAAGCAGCTGGTTACCAGTTTCCCTATTCCCACTGACGACGTGTTGTACGCGAGGAACGCTCGTCAGGAAAATACGAACGATCGCGTGATTCCATCCCGTTTGCATTAATGATGCGAACGATACGGTCGAAGAAACGAGCGTGTGGTTTCCTCGTATATTTCCCTGCAAGCTCTGCCATGGCGAATTGAAACCGCGAAACATTACCATCTCTATGACGTTTCCCGAAACTCTTCAAACGAAATAAAGAAACATACTTAAAAATGATTTTGGAAATCTATAGACCGTTTCAGACTGACGCTACGTTAACAAGTGTAAATCGTTCAATAATATGTGCTGACATACGCACAGGATCCTTAGTTTCTATGTATAGCCACGCTTTGGTACATTGTTGATAGACATAACTGGCAGATGACAGATATTGATAGACATTAAACTGACAGGAGAAAGAGACGTTTAAAGATGTGGCAGAAAACTTCTATAATTTTCGTGTAACATACAAAATGAATCTGCAACGACATTTTCTTTCCTGTATGAAGGGATAGACGTCGACCTGTCAGGAAAAATTAAGAAAACATTTGAGGAGTAACGAAAGAGAGGAAATGCAAATGAACGGGCCTAAGCGACAGTGCACGTTGGTGTCGAGTGACGCAACCCGACGCCATGGCCGACAGTTGGTTGACCGACGGGTGAAAGGTGCTCGTTTCTGTCCTATTCATGAGAAACGATCGCCGTTAGATTGTTATTAAAACAATCGTCGTTATTTATCAAGAGTGGGATCCTTGGATCGCAAGGCGAACTCTCAGGGGGAATGGGTTTCTAGCATTATGAAATCTTCTTATGAAAGTTACAGATGGTTCGAACGATTACTATGAGAAGGAAAAATTAATATAATTAAGTTTGAAGGATGAGACACGAGACATTTCATGAGCTGTTTTAAGAGGTTTCAGAATTCACGTAGTATGAAGGAAAATAAAATTCATTTTAAATGTTATTTACTGATATGAAAATTAACAGTGACAAGTACTCGTGAAAGTGCTTCAACTTTTAGACAATTTTTATGAATATATTATACTTATTAACTATATACAACTTTTTATAATTTCACCAGCATTGTACCGAGACACGGTTATTTCATTATATCGGTACAGCTTGAAGCAAGTTTAAAAATGCATATTGAAATGAGAAGATATTTATTACAAACATACATGCTGTATGCTCGCATAATCATTTTTTATGAAGTATATTTTTGCAGTAAATATCTTGTAATCTTTCTACATTGCTTTCAAATTTCACTAATATAACCATGACAGCCACATCTCATTATACTTGCAATGAAATTTCCAAGTATTTTACATAATTTATCATAAAAAATTTCCGCTGTAAATATTCAAATATTCTCTCATGAGTTTCAATATGTATATTTATTTTCTGCCAGTTGTTCGAAAGAAAGAGTTTGTAAATTATATAAAATTCTCAGATTCGAAGAAAACATTTCTAATCGAAATAGAAAACAAAACCACAAACGTACCACAAACGAGACAATTATTTGCTTATGATCATAAGAAGTAATAGCGATTCGTTTGGAATTCGCGTTTCAATGATCTGTAATTGTTTAAAGCGCAGGCTTTCCTTCGTGCGGCAATCCGCACGTTTCGAAACGAAAGGGACGACAATTGCATTCCGCGGCGTCCATCCAATTGATGGGACGATTCGTTCCTCGTTTGTCGTTTGCCGACTCGCGAAAAAATGCTGGCAAACGAACTCTCGTTCTCGTACCGTTGCGTCCGTTGTTCACGTCCGACTGCTCGTCGTTGTCTATTCGCGAAACAGGTTGCATGAAACAATGATTCCTGACAGAAGTACGGAGAAATTTATACGAATTCAATATTTCTTTCATCTTCCTTTGTGAATTTAAAAATTTGAATGGTGTTCTAATTGAAACATTTTTGCACGTGGAAATTACACAGTACCTCTTAAATCTTATTTCTTTTAATTCGATTGAATCGAATTCCTTGTCAGATTCAAGTTCAGAGAATTCAGTCTAATTGAAATCGAATAAACAGATTTAATTATGGTATAATCACATTTTACATATGTCGTGGTACCTCATTGTTCTTAGTTCAATTATATTTCATATTCATAAATACAAATCTGTATCAATGATTTACGATAATTCCAACTATTTTAATTTTGACAATATTCGAACCTAATGTATAATTTCATTTAACTCATTAAAGATTAATGCTATGGTTATGGCATTTATAATAATAACATTTTATTCGCAACTTTTTTCAGTCAATTTACATTGTCAAGCTCTATTTTTTAACATTGTGATAATGAGAAGGATTTCCAAGGATTTGTTCAATTTTTATTATAACTTTTCTCCTTTCACATAGATCCTATAATCTTACAAATTACAAAGAAACTGAAATACCTATTTATAGTACTATGATAAACTATGTTCCCCGCGTTATGAAAATTGTCCATTACTGAATCGTGTAATACGCTTCTTCAAACTATCTATTATTTTAATACGTTTATTAAATTATTAATTATTAGTGTAATATTATTTCAACACGATATCTAACAATATACAGGGCGGTTGGTACTGGTGGTACAAGTGGAAAGGGGGTGCTTCTACGCGAAAAAAGAAGTCGAAAATATAGAATAAAAATTTTTCGTTTGAGGCTTTGTTTTCGAGAAAATCGACTTTGAATTTTCGCTCGGTACGCGTGCATCTTATCATGTCTCGTTATAACGGATCTCACTGTAGATGGTTGTCTCGATGGAAAAATTTAAAAAAAAAATTTCTATTCTATATTTTCGACTTCTTTTTTCGCGTAGAATCACCCCCTTTCCGCTTGTACCACCAGTTACAAACCTGGCCGAATGAACGTCGGTGATGTTAATTGTCGAGGTGGTTGGTAATTTCAGTTATTTATGAGGCCGTTTCACGTTGATGGCTCTTTTCAGAAATCGACAATTGAAGGTTCTGTACGGAGGTCTATTGCGAGGAAGAAATTGGATGCACCAGGGTGCTATTACGTCTCGCGTTTCTAGTATTTTCTTTAGATTTTGTAAGATGTTTAATACGTTAAGAACGAAGCATTGAAGCGAAGCATGACATTACTGAATAATGTGAAAATGTAAATAAATTATTGTATCAGAATGATAGTAAACAAAGATGTTTAATGCATTAAGGACTAATCATTGAAATAGAGCACAAAGCATGATGTTATCGAATAATGTTAAAGCGTGAATGAATTAATATACAGGGTGGTTGGTAACTGGTGGTACAAGCGGAAAGGGGGTGATTCTACGCGAAAAAAGAAGTCGAAAATATAGAATAAAAATTTTTCGTTTGAGGCTTTGTTTTCGAGAAAATCGACTTTGAATTTTCGCTCGGTACGCGTGCATCTTATCATGTCTCGTTATAACGGATCTCACTGTAGATGGTTGTCTCGATGGAAAAATTTAAAAAAAAAATTTCTATTCTATATTTTCGACTTCTTTTTTCGCGTAGAATCACCCCCTTTCCGCTTGTACCACCAGTTACCAACCACCCTGTATATTAATTCATTCACGCTTTAACATTATTCGATAACATCATGCTTTGTGCTCTATTTCAATGATTAGTCCTTAATGCATTAAACATCTTTGTTTACTATCATTCTGATACAATAATTTATTTACATTTTCACATTATTCAGTAATGTCATGCTTCGCTTCAATGCTTCGTTCTTAACGTATTAAACATCTTACAAAATCTAAAGAAAATACTAGAAACGCGAGACGTAATAGCACCCTGGTGCATCCAATTTCTTCCTCGCAATAGACCTCCGTACAGAACCTTCAATTGTCGATTTCTGAAAAGAGCCATCAACGTGAAACGGCCTCATAAATAACTGAAATTACCAACCACCTCGACAATTAACATCACCGACGTTCATTCGGCCAGCGTGTAATCCTCTTAATCGGGCAGCTTAGAACGCGAAACGTTTAGCTATAGTTCGCGGCTGCCGTCGTGGAGCGATTAAGCGGACCGGCGTGTCTGGTCGCGAATCGATTCCCACGCCGTTCTTTCCGTGCCGCGATTAGGTTTCCCGAGGAGCAAGATCGAATTTAGCGGTAAGGCTCGGCTGTTAAGAAATAAATTGCGAAACTGCAATGGGAAACATTGCAGTAACATCTGGAAATGGATAGAGGAAACGGGCGACTTTGTTTCAACTCGCAGTTTGTCAATTATTAATTACGAAATATCCTTCAGTTCTTCACTGGATCAGCGCTGAGGAATTTCACTGCACCGTGATCTTTGTTTGAATTTTATAAACTTCAGTGTTGCAATTGACAGAGGAAAGAAAGAAAATGTGCTAAATAATTAGAATTAGAAAATATTAAAAATATTTGAAATAGCTAAGGAACTGGTCGAAGCCACATTAAATATAGAAATCTCATTAATCTACTTCGTCAGCTGGCTAATTATTATTCAACTTCTGAAAAGTTAAACATTCGAAATGTATCCTAATGCTAAAATTAAGTGGCGTAACTGAATAACGAGTAAATTAGTTTTAGGTAGGGCACTTTAAAATATTGAGAAAAGGGTAAATTAGATAGTTCTTATGATTGTAGCTACGTTAAAGAAGATGAAAATTCTGGCAAATATTGTTCGCTAACTCCATAAAAAATGTATCTACATATCCTATTATATACCAGCCTAACTTGCTTGATAACTATATACATATTCCAGAAACAAAAAGGAAATTGAATATGTAAGAAAATAAGTAATAATTTAATTAAGTCCACGCAGGAACATAGAAATAAATAAATTCCTCATAGTAACAAAAAACGATGAACACTATAATGATACGTAAATCAAAGGAATAAAAATACAATTCCCACTAACGAAAAGCATCTCTAAAGTAATTCTCTTCGCCTGGCAACCCACTCACAAAATCCTCGAAATGACAATAAAACGTGACGCAATTTTCAAAAAGATCAACCCCAAGAAAGGTTCAACCCTTCGCTATACAATCTTCTAACAATATTTCCTGGGCAGATGCCGTCGAAACGATGATATACATTCGGAGCTGTAAGTGAAACAGACGAGCATCGCACGCTGGAACCTCAACGCAGCCAATGTTTTCGAACATCATAGCCCGAAGGTAATTCGGAAAAGGATGCCTTTGCTCGGTTTCATCGGATGAAACGCGATAGAAGGGAAAAATAGGAAGTGGTACGAGCGCAGGAAATTCGAGAAATCCCGCGCAATATCGAGCTCGGTGTATGCCGGCCCGGGCAATTTTTCCGCGGGACGTATTCGAAATCTCGAAATCCTATCAAACTGGATCATCTCCCTACGCGGAACGTTCGAATTGCAGCCGACCGTATCAACCAACGATAAGCCAGCGTTTCCCTGATTACCATAATTCCAGAAATAGCGGCGTCGTTTCACCGAGCGCGTAATATCGTTCCACGCTAACATCGCGTTATGCCTTCGCAACGGAATACGTGTGTACACACTTTGCTCCGCGAGTCTGCGACCAAGTTTTAGAAATGAATATCTGAAAAACCGTGGAAACGTGGAAGGTGGGTTAGATACTCGGTGAAAGAGCCGGTTACGATTTGTTTGCGTATAGATTCGATTCTACGATGGGTTCAGGGGTCAACTGCGAGTAAAAGGATTTTCCAAAAATAGAATTTTCATATTTCGCGGTTGAATATACTTACGGGATGCGTATTATTGCGTATTATATAAGATGGAAATCGCAGGTTAGATGATGTTCATGAAGTTTTTAATGTCAAAGCTTCCATGTTTGGCCGCTATAGTCGGCTGTATTCCTAGGCTTTTGCGTGATAAAATACTTTCCAGATCGAAGTTTTAATACTTAATATTCTATTATACATATCCGTCGACAGTTATCTATCATTGGTATTAAGATTATCTATTAAATCTTTCGTTTATGCTGCTTTAGAGCTTCGTGCAAGATCACGTTTGTGAAATTTGGCCGCTGTTTATCTCGTTTGGGTAGATTGTTGTAATAATAATCCACGTTAAAATGAAAAATCTTCTAATATTCAACTTTGCATCAATGATAGGAACTTTAACGCGTGTAAAGTACCTAATTTCACAGGTTGCTATTTTACCAAAAAAAATCTATTATTTACTATCTAAGTGATAGATTGTTTCTGAAAAAGAGAAATTTGATCTTTCTACAAAGCTATTTTATTTCGTAATGCTCTTCTGCTGACTTCGAAGAAACTCGTGCAGTCTATCGATAAATGTATCCAGGACGAAGCTTTATCAGAAATCTCGTAGGCCATTTTCCATACGCGGAAAAGGAATCTTCGCATCCGCGTCGCGAGATGGAATCCATTCATCGATACCAGAATAGCACTGACGAGAATGGATATTTCATCGTATCTCCCAGCATCTCTTATCTCGAGGAAAAAGAGAAAAAGAGACGAGATGGCGTTTTTTTGGATCAGGCTGCGTAGAAGAAGAAGAATTTCTTCACTAGAGTCGCGTACGACTTTACGTCACACTGGTAGCGTCGTAACCGAGCATAAATCAACCGCCACCACCCACGCCATTATCTCTTTTCCTTTCTCTGTTCGCTTGTGGCCATGAAAAACGGGCCAGTTTTGCACGAAAATTGGACATTTCGGTCTCAAAATTGAAAGAAAGTGTAATAAATGAACCGAGGATTTTTGTGCATTTATGGCAGATTTGACAGTGAAAAAATTTACAGAATACATACATATAATGCTAAGAAGCAGACAAAATATTGAAAATGGAATACTCATTATAATATTTAAAAAAACGGGAAAAATATCTTTCTTGTTAGTAAACCGATTTTTGTTTTCATCGTTACAGTATAACGATAGCTGTAATGTATTTACAGTTATCAATAGGACGTAATTTATGAATTTGCTATTTTACGTATATATCTAACTATATACGCTTAAACGTTAATGTAAATATAAATATATATGAAAAATTCAATTTGAATATGATGAATAAATTACGGTATCCTAAATTACAAATAATCCTCGACTTATTGATTAACACCATCATTATCTTGAACAGCAACGAGTCCAACGTTTGATCTTCGCGTTACCATAAAAAGTAGTAGGAAATATAAAACGAAAATACGTAAAATTCAGTAGAAAGCAGGATATCTCGTTTGCGTGAAGAAGGTTCACGAGCGCTGCAAGAGGGTTAAAAGTATCAGGATGGCAGATGGCGGATATCCCAGATGCCAAAGTTGCTGACCCGGAAGTTGGAACCGGGCCAACGATGGAAGTCCATCCGTGGTTGCGAGCGGCGTATGGAATCGCAGTTATTTACCAGGCAAGAGGAAAGAATCGCGTACGAAGGCCGCATTAACGTCGAGAGTTCTAACCGTATTCTCGTGTAATATCGACCAACTCACCGGGCACTGTCTACAGCCGGCAACCTTCACTTTTTTTATTCTCGATTTCCGCCGGCGAAATTTTATTCGTGTTACTGGAAATAGCCTGGATTAACGAACTGTGAAAACACACCGTTTTCTAACGTGTTCTAACGAGACGACAGCCATTATGCCGCTGTTGCAGCATACTCCGTGCATCTTCGCAGAACGTTTTAATGTTCTACAGGAATTTCTAATATTCTTAAGAAGAAGAACGATGGTGGAGGCAAATGAAAGGTGAATTTCGTGAGTTTAAGATGTAGATTGGTCCGAGAT